AGTTAATGTCTTGTACTCTCATCTCTTCAGTGTGATCCTTGAATGTCATACTTAGTTAATGTCTTGTACTCTCATCTCTTCAGTGTGATCCTTGAATGTCATACTTACTTAATGTCTTGTACTCTCATCTCTTCAGTGTGATCCTTGAATGTCATACTTAGTTAATGTCTTGTACACTCATCTCTTCAGTATGATCTTTGAATGTCATACTTACTTAATGTCTTGTACTCTTATCTCTTCAGTGTGATCCTTGAATGTCATACTTAATGTCTTGTACACTCATCTCTTCAGTGTGATCCTTGAATGTCATACTTAGTTAATGTCTTGTACTCTCATCTCTTCAGTGTGATCCTTGAATGTCATACTTAGTTAATGTCTTGTACACTCACCTCTTCAGTGTGATCCTTGAATGTCATACTTAGTTAATGTCTTGTACACTCATCTCTTCAGTGTGATCCTTGAATGTCATACTTAGTTAATGTCTTGTATTTTTAAAACATTGGTAATGTGTTCAAATAGTTCTAAATACTTTTTATTCATTAGTTACTAAATGCTATTTTTTGTTTCATAAAATGTTTATTAAGGATACAGGTTAAAGGTAAAATATATACATTAAAGTTACTTATTTACAAAATATTCATTATAGGTGTTTGGTGCGTACTGTTCTGTGAATTGGGCTGAAAGAAACAGACAAGATGAAAATGGAAAAAAATGTATATACTTTGGTACTGGGGAGACATTTTTGTTTACTATTATACCTGAATTTCACCAGTATACATGGGTTGGTCTATCTTCATCGACTGAAGTTTCATACTCTGCCAACTTGTTCATGGTAGCTGACAACACAATGGTTGGTGTCGGAGGAGGGTAAGTATGATGTCAGTGGTTTAGTGAAATTTGTAGATGATTATTAAAAACATCAGGTAAACTATATATGTAGAGATTTACACATAATAGTGTAACATCTTCATGATTTATCAGTATGATGCCTAAGTTATCTAACAGAAAAGAGAGAATACATAAAAACCTGTGGGAAACAAACTGGTGTGAAACAATGTGTACTAGGCCAGGTGTGGCCTAGAACATGCTGGAATATGAAGGGCATCCTGTTGTTGCAACTTCACATTATTCAGTTAGAGTAGCCCAAACTTAGTGGTGGGTGCTGTTCACTAACTGTCTTCCCTCTAGTCTAGAGATTCTCAACATTTTGTTTTTTTATGCTACATATTTTAAGTCAGTTATTTGAGCCACTGGCATACCACTGACAGTCTCTAATACCTTCCTTGCTGTAATTCTTAACACAATCTCTTATAACTTCCTTGCTTTTATTCTTAAGATCCCTAATAACTTCCTTGCTGTGATTCTTAAGACAGTCTCTAATAAGTTCCTTGCTGTGATTCTTAAGACAGTCTCTAATAAGTTCCTTACTGTGATTCTTAAGATGGCCCCTAATAACATAACTTCTTTGCTGTGATTCTTAAGATTGTCCCTGATAAGTTCCTTGATGTTATTTAAGCTGGTGTTTACAGGTTTCATTGTTTAGTGGTTAGTTTTTGGCTTATTTTTGTTTTGTTTTTATTTAATGACTAGTTTTGGCTTATGTTTACATGTTCATTGAGTTCATTGATTATATTTCAGCTTATGTTTAGAGGTTTTGTAGTTTAGTGGTTAGTTTGACTTATGTTTGCAGGTTTTGTGCTTGAATGGTTAACTTTTAGGTTATCTAACCTATACAAAAACCAGTGTGTTATCTTGTCATGCTTGATTTCTTGAAACAGGAGGAGACATAAAAGCCAAAATGCATTTATCCAGATAGAATAGTTCGATTACTGTCCACCCGCCACGATTTTAGTGATGGGGTCCAAGGAGACGTGAGGAGTGTGTATGTGCCGTAAAACCTTAAAAGTGTAGTGAGTGTTGGTATAATGAGCCTAAAGTAAAGACGTAGTGTGGAATCACTTAGCCTAGAGCCAAGTGCTTAAAATTTATTACGAAAGTAAAAATATCGATTCAATTTTAAACTTAAATCATTTCTGAATTAAGCTATTTCCTGTTATATCACCAACGTTTTTAATAAAAAACAAACCTCTTTAATCAACAGATTCTAAATTCAGAAATCAACAAATATTTTTCCAGTTTTGTTGTATATACATTCCATTTTATACTTTCAGTACATAGACTAACAACAATATTAGGTTATACTTTTGTTGCTAAGCAACATGACATAAAACTGATTGTTGGGAGGTGGTATTACCAAAACAGACTGGCTTTTCTGTATATTACAAGTTGTTAATCTAACTGATCTTTACCAATAATTATTCTATGAATACACCATAAATTCATTTCATGAATGATCTTAATTTTGATTGGCTCACAAAGGAATTTACCAGTGTATGACTGCTCCAACTGTACTCTTCTGCCTCTTTGTTGGTCAAGCTTGATTTTGCAAAATTTATTTATTTCATTTAGCTATGAAATGTGAGGTCAGGGTATACTATGGGGTAGGGGTGGTAGTACTTGCCCTGTCATTTTTGACAGGATATATGCTAGTCTGTATAATAAGATTAAGTGTCTGTGTAATACCTCCTACACCAATGGTACCGAACAAATTGTCTTGGTCTCGAGGTTTACACAAAGGTAAACTTTTTCACCCCACCCCTTGGGGAACCCGGGGATTTCCTAAAAATCCCTTCTCCTAAACTGCTAGACTCACCAACTTTTAAATGGTGCCAAACAAATTGTCTTGGCCCCGAGGTCTGCAAAAAAGGAAAACTTTTCAACCATATCTTTAGAGAACCCAGATATTTTGCAAAAACACTTTTTAGGGATATCCTGAAAGCAGTCCCCAAATTTGGCATTGATTTACCTTAGAGAAAGTAAATAAGTAGGCATACTAATTACTGTTCATAACTTGGTTAGATAAATTAAATATGCATTATAGCAGCCCTGTAAATGTTGGCCTATGGCTCACAGGTTTGCTATTGTTTACATGTTTTGTAATTTACTGATTAGTTTTGCCTTATAGATTTTTTAGGTTAATAGCTAGTTTTTGGTTAATATTTACAGGATTTTTAGTGTAATGATTAGTTTTGGCTTGTAGATTTGTTAGGTTAATGGCTAGCTTTTGGCTAATATTTACAGGATTTTTAGCATAATGATTAGTTTGGGCTTGTAGATTTGTTAGATTAATGGCTAGTTGTGGGCTAATATTTACAAGGTTTTGAGTGTAATGATTAGTTTTGGCTTCTGTGTACAACTTTTATAGTTTAATGGTTAACTTTTGGCTTATGTTTACAGGTTTTAAATAAATTGTTGTTTAGATATTGGTTTTGGCTTACATTTACACTTTTTTTTAGTTTGATAAATTGTTTTGACTTACATTTACAGTTATATTTAGTTTAATAAATAGTTTTGGCTTACATTTACAGGTTTTTTAGTTTAATAAGTAGTTTTGACTTACATTTACAGTTATTTTTAGTTTAATAAATAGTTTTGGCTTACATTTACAGGTTTTTTTAGTTCAATAAGTAGTTTTGGCTTACGTTTACAGGTTTTTTAGTTTAATAAGTAGTTTTGGCTTACATTTACAGGTATTTTTTAGTTCAATAAGTAGTTTTGGCTTACATTTACAGTTTTTTTTAGTTTTAACATTATGTATACAGTCTATAGCTTAATGATTAGCACTTACGTGCAGTGAGCAACATGAAGACATAAGGTTTTGGTGTCTTACATTCAAAATTTTATTAAGCTACTTTTTTGTTTATGTTATACCAATTAGTATAGCATAAAATCTTAGCTAATAATCCATATTTTAATAATATATATAAGTTTCAAGTTCTTAATTCTATAAGGCAATATTTAAAAAAATCCTGAATTTACCCTAATGTGACACGTAACACATTTTCTCTAGGTATCTTCTCTATTTTATCCACCACCCCTCTAGTAACTACAAAGTTAAACGTAAATTACTCGCTATAAAATCATCATTGTTCTGACAAACCATATTTTTTATGGTCTTCAATTTTGTTTGGTTACAGAGCTATCAAATAGAAAATCCAATCCTCCTGCCACACCCACCTGTCACATTCTCTCTATCAAGATTTTTTAATAGTTCTCTCTTACATTTAATTATATATTGCCTATAACCAATAGAAAGCCAAGGTTTTCATCTATCAAATGACATATTATATTATGTTTTTTCTGAACTGATAATTTCACTTGTAATATAACTTTGGTTCCCCAAGAATCACAATGACTAGCTTAGATGAATTTGTAACGGCTCTTGTCGCATAGTTAGAATCCCAGAAAAATTTTTTGTTAGAGAATATTGTCTGCTTTTTGCATGTTATTAGTCTATTTTCTTTGGTAGATTATTTGATTAAATAAAAATTATTTAGTGCATTACAACCATTTGTATAAAAAAAAAATAGGGTTAAGTGTCATTGATAATCAACAGCAAGAAAAAAGAATACTCAGGTAAGTACTTTATTTCTTGTTTTTCATGTTTATTCTTTATTTATTATCATAAAAGTAACTAAAATGTAAAAATAGGGATTTCTTTAAGTTAGTTAACACATTCATGACATTATGCACCACCGGTGGTACATATGCATGTTTTCTGTTGGACGTCATGAGCCACATGTGGTACACACAGCACCCATAAGATATAACTGTACCTCATATCTCCAAAGTCATGTATGAAGCATTTATTTCATACGGACGGCTATAATAATGCCACATCTTTCATCGTGTACCACTGGTGGAGCATGGATGCCATGTTGAAAGGACAACTGATGATTACATCACTTTTTATTTTAAAATTATATCTAGAGATTGGCATTAAATTTTTCATTGTGAGTAATTGAAGCCAAGAAACACTAATTGAGACTTCTTTCATAAATAAGAAAACTGTTATGAAGACTGTAATATAATAATGGTAGAACTATTATCATCCACAGTAGGGATTATTTTATTTCATGCCCTTTTTTACGACCATAAAATTGTGAAATATTCATAATTCTTCTAAAAAATGGCAAGATTAGGCTGTAAAAAAAAAAGAAAAATTATGATCATTTAGCTGTATCTAAGGCAGAGTTCACAATGATGCCTTACGTTCCTATTAGATAATTAGAGAAATTACTTACGCTGCGACCGTGTTAAGGTTAAATTAAGTAAAATAAATAATAATAGTAGAATAAAAATATTTCATGAGGCATGCACACTAGTAGCTTGTGGGTAATGTAATAAAATATTTCATGAGGCATGCACACTAGCAGCTTGTAGTAGCTTGTGGGTAATGTAATAAATTATTTCATGAGGCATGCACACTAGTAGCTTGTGGGTAATGTAATAAATTATTTCATGAGGCATGCACACTAGCAGCTTGTAGGTAATGTAATTTGATGGCATAACTTGAGCTGCATGTTCCCCAAGTGATTCACAACTTATAATGGTGTGAATAGTAGTTAGACACAGTTCAAAGGGCAATAAAACAATAAAAATTTAATTATAAATAGATGTATGCCATTACATGTCTAAAGCTGCTTAGGATGAATCAGTGTAGTTTCATGCTACATTTGAAGTCATTCTAGAAATAAAGAGAGGGTAATTTATATTTATTTAGATTTTTTTTTTGGAGGGTGGTACGAAGTCAGTCAAATTGACCAAGCACATGTCAAGAGAGATAAACACATCAGGCATTAAAAGTAAAAAGAATCTGAAACTTAAAAAATTATCAAAATAACTTACATAATTATTAAAAATGTAGACACATAACATATGTGAAATATATATTATATGGAAACAGTTAGTAGATTAATGGTTTATTTCCTTTGGGGGGGAAGTTCTGTGTGTATTGCCAAAGATTTACTCTGAGGGATACATTTAAGCATTTTTATTTTATATTTTGAAAAAACAATATCATTATATTAAAAAACAATCTTAGCTAACCAAGCAGTCCCTGATTTGTAAGAATGTCACTAATGATTAATTTTCACTGATGTTTATAGGTTGTTTTTAAGTTATTGATTAGCTTGGACTAATGTTTTCAGGTTTTGTAATTTAGTGGTTAGGTTGACTTGTATTTACAGTTTTTAACTGCTGTTTTTAAGTTATTGATTAGCTTGGACTAATGTTTATAGGTTTTGTAATTTAGTGGTTAGTTTAACTTGTATTTACAGGTTTTTAACTTATGTTAACTGATGTTTTTGAGTTTATTGATTAGTTTGGGCTAATGTTTACAGGTTTTGTAATTTAGTGGTTAGTTTAACTTGTATTTACAGGTTTTTAACTTATGTTTACTGATGTTTTTGAGTTTATTGATTAGTTTGGGCTAATGTTTACAGGTTTTGTAGTTTAGTTTGGCTTATATCTATAGCAGAGTTTCCCAAACTGTGGCCCATGGCCCCCTGGGTGTCCTCAATAGGACTAAATGGGGTCTGCAGTAAAACATCAGATTTATGAAATTACCATTTACTGAAAGAGTAACAAATAAAATGCAAGATTTCTCTCAACTTGCTTATATAAAATTGATGTATATAAATAAGATAAATGTGGAGCCGGATCTTTGTTTCAAAATATCAGACATTGACCCAGAAATTTGCAAGATTGTTTCAGCAAATCAGTGTCACCCTTCATATTAAAGTAAATCGTAAGATTTTTTAAAGTTTTCCATATTTAAGTCTCTTTTCATTGTTATTTTTTAAAACTAGAATCAAGCTGTAAAGGTAGTAAAATACGCATATGTTACACCAGTTACACATGATGAAAACTATTTTGAACAGGAGGTGGTCTGCCAATACAGTAAAGAAGTTGAAGAGGTCCACTGGTTGGCAAAGTTTGGGAATTCCTGATTTACAGTTTCTTTTTTAAGTTAATGATTACAAAACTTGTAAACAAAAACCAAAGCTAGTTTAGTTGTTAGTTTGGCTTATATTTTCAGGTTTTTCAGTTTAATATTTAGTTTTAAAGGTTTTGTAATTAAGTGGCTAGTTTAACTTATGTTTACAGGTTCCATTTAATTTCATGGTTAGATTTTGGTTCATGTTTATGGGTTTTATAGTTTAAAGGATTAAATGATGGTATTATTTTCTCTTAAAATACTAATTATTTCTTACAGAAATGGCCAAGCTCTTTGGCTGGACCAGTCTCTCTATCAAGGAAAAACAGAACATTGTGATACATTTAACAATCCACCGTTGTGCAGCAAGACTGATTTCACTTGTAAGGTACTTGAGGTGATTGGATTTAAATAGGAAAACCACCACTAATAATTTATTATATGTGGTGTTTTGATTATACAGTTGTAATGTTATACAAATGTATGTATACCTTTTACAGAATTTAAAAAGATTGTAACTAATACATTTGGTTTAAGATCGTGGACAATTTCAGTAATGTATTGAATTTTATCCAAATGGTCATCAAACTTCAGAAGTGATTATATATATATATATAATTAAACTAATTTTAAGGTTGAAAATCAGCAGTCAATGTGATAACCATGGTAATCTAAGTTAATATTTGTATATTGCATTAATTCCAATGTAGATTGAATTTTGATGTTATTTATCATTTGTGGGTTATATGAGACAAAGTTGTTTTTGTAATGATTAATTCATCAGTTGTATGGAAATCCTTTGTGTTAAAAACAAGTGAATTGTTTATTTGATACTACAGAATACAGGCACTTACTTATGTTTGTTAGTTTGTATACAGTCATACTAGTCATTCCATGCGTGTCACAATGTGTACCATTCTTTGATATCTGAATTTGTTATTCAGTACTAATGAACGTTGTATTGGAAATTTTAGTTTACACTACTAAGTTTTCTTAAATCCACACTATAAGTTACTTAAGATTATGCTGCTAATTTATAAATATCAATGATACCTCAAATTAATGATCTTGATACCATTAACGTGTAGGATTTTCATAATAGAAACCACAATAAACTTGTGAGATCTATTCAATGAAACAGTTCATGGAAAGCTGTATATACCCTAGGTTTTATAAAAAACAATAACTTTCAATCTTCTCTCATTACAAATACACAGAATACAAGCATGCTGACTGTTAACCAGACTATCCAACAGTATGTTACTGTAAACCATGTTATCAGATGTCTGTACCCATAACTCTATAAACCACACTATCCAGCAGTATGTTACTTTACCTGTTACTGTAAACCATGTTATCAGATAGCTGTACCCATAACTCTATAAACCAGACTATCCAACAGTATGTTACTGTAAACCATGTTATCAGATAGCTGTACCCATAACTCAATAAACCAGACTATCCAACAGTATGTCACTGTAAACCATGTTTTCAGATAGCTGTACCCATAACTCTATAAACCAGACTATCCAACAGTATGTTACTTTATCTGTCACTGTAAACCATGTTATCAGATAGCTGTACCCATAACTCTATAAACCAGACTATCCAGCAGTATGTTACTTTACCTGTCACTGTAAACCATGTTATCAGATAGCTGTACCCATAACTCTATAAACCAGACTATCCAGCAGTATGTTACTTTTCCTGTCACTGTAAACCATGTTATCAGATAGCTGTACCCATAACTCAATAAACCAGACTATCCAGCAGTATGTTACTGTAAACCATGTTATCAGATGTCTGTACCCATAACTCAATGAACCAGACTATCCAGCAGTATGTTACTGTAAACCATGTTATCAGATAGCTGTACCCATAACTCTATAAACCAGACTATCCAGCAGTATGTTACTTTACCTGTCACTGTAAACCATGTTATCAGATAGCTGTACCCCATAACTCAATGAACCAGACTATCCAGCAGTATGTTACTTTACCTGTCACTGTAAACTATGTTATCAGATATCTGTACCCATAACTCAATAAACCAGACTATCCAGCAGTATGTTTCTTTTTTTGTCACTGTATGTTTCAAATATCCATGCCAGCACTTCTAACCTTGCTGGTCTATAACAATTCACTCCAGCAATAAATAGAACTCAGAGTGATATTTATATCAGAACATCCAGAAGTACTGTATTTCAGTAACATTACCTCTCTAGCTAATACTCAGTGATATTTATATCACAACATCCAGAAGTACTGTATTTCAGTAACATTACCTCTCTAGCTAATACTCAGTGATATTTATATCAGAACATCCAGTATACTATATTTCAGTAACATTACCTCTCTAGCTAATACTCAGTGATATTTATATCACAACATCCAGTATTTCAGTAATGTGATATCTCAAACTATTATACATAGTGATATTTAATTGAGAAAGTACTGTAGCCCCCCAATGGCTCAGCAGTAAGTTTGATGGCTTATAATGCTACAAATTGTGTTGTGATGGACATAGCACAAATAGCCCATTATGCAGCTTTGTGCTTAAAAATATTCAAAGAAATACAAACATATATTTCAAAGCATGATTTATCTAACTAATTAATACTCATTGATATTACACTAATTCCAGAACCTAAGTGAATGTTGGGTACAGTTGTTTTTTTTAAAGTTGATGAAAACTTTATTTATAATATTTTTGTTGAAAGTACTTGTTAAAAACTACTTATTAAGTTGTAGTTAGCGATTGATGGTGAATATTATTTGTTAAAGCAAGTGAGCTGTAGGTCAAAGTTGATTAAATTATTTAGAAAACAAAAAACATATTTGTGTGTCTCTTTGGGTTTATTCTTACCAGACATTTTGAGCTGTATCATAACATTTGGATTTATTCTTACTAGACATTTTGAGCTGCATCAGAACATTTGGGTTTATTCTTACTAGACATTTTGAACTGTATAAGAACATTTGGGTTTATTCTTACTAGACATTTTGAACTGTATCAGAACATTTGGGTTTATTTTAACTAGACATTTTGAACTGTATCAGAACATTTGGGTTTATTTTAACTAGACATTTTGAACTGTATAAGAACATTTGGGTTTATTCTTACTAGACATTTTGAACTGTATCAGAACATTTGGGTTTATTTTAACTAGACATTTTGAACTGCATCAGAACATTTTCATTCTATGAATTGCACTCTATAAAAATTTATTATTTTCTGATAAAGCCCAAATATGAAATATACTTGAATGAAATTAAAATAACATTATGAAACTGTATGTTACAAAAACTATTCTGGGTGTCTTTTTTTTTACAGTTTCCAATTTAACTGTTTGATGTAATTAAAGAAAAGAATTAAAAATATAGTCATATAAAAAATAATCCTCTCTTACGATCAAGTCACAATTTCAAATATTACTGTGAACCATGCTACCCTGTCGCAGTTTCAAATATTATTGTAAACCATGTTATCCTGCTATAGTCTCAACCCCCATCTGTTAATTGTCAGGATCTTAGACATAGTGTTAGATTTGCAACAATTGCATATATGATGACAAATCATGCAGTAGGAGATTCCACTAGTGGGTGGAAAAATCAACTGATGGACCCAGATCTTGTATGGGGACACCTTACCTTAAAGCAAAATTAAACACACACACAGTTTAGATTGAGGAATGCATCCCTGTAACGTATGGCACTTGTAGGACCAGTTACGTGCACAGGAAAGTTTGTTATCGATCACCAAGCAGTGGTTCTCATCTTGTATTACAGCTAATAGTTCTCAGAGCTTTGAGGCATGAGATCCTCCAGATGTGCATAATACAAAGCCGGTAGGATATCACTTGTGCTAACATTTGATAGGGTTTTTCTGTCTATATTTGAGCTGAGATGTTCAGTGCTGTTGTCAACGTCGTATAGTGTATGCCAGCCAGAGAAAGAGCCGACTTAAATAAAGAATTGTTGGTTCTCCTCTACAGGGAATAGCCCTGGATATCACTGGTCCACTCCCAGAGACAGAAAAAGGTCACCTCTATATACTCACGGTCATCAAAATAGAGATATGGCTTTTATATGTGGCAGCAACACAGAAGCCTTTTGAGTCTGACTGGACCAAACCTAATTAACGTATGAGTCAAAAGCATGTATAAACACGTAGTATACATCAGTCAAAAGGTGGCAGTCATTTCCCTAACTATTAATGTATGTAACAACAAAAAGTGAAAATAAATCTTAAACTTTGTGAGATAAAGTTTAATATGATTGTTGACCTGAAAAGTCCTATTTCAAAATGCAATGTGACTGTTCTTGACAGGTAATGAATGTTGGTGGGAAGATAAGAGTAGCACAAGATATTTCAAATGGGTCAAATTAAAACGTTTGAGTATGTGAAGTTATTAGGAGTATATGAAATTCATAAACAGTAGATGAAATTTCATAATAAATATAAACTCAGTGTATTCAGTGTTTTATTTTGTTATGATAAAGTATTTTCAATCGAGCAGGTTGAAATATTAAGAAAAATGCCAGTTTTCTAAAGGTTTTTTTAACATTATTTCAAGGAGCAATATAAGAGGTGCGAAATACAAGCTGAAAGTGTAATAAGGGGTTATAAAATAGCACACCATATAAAATACCACACCATAGTTAGTACTTAACTTGTAATTGGAAGGAGGTTCCTGAGGAAAGACCATGAAAATATTAGTGGATTAAAAAAATCGAAGGTAAAGGATAGCATTGCATAATACAAGTCAGCATATGTGTGTGTAGGATCTGGTTTTACAGAAAGCATATTGTCCATTATCACTGGAATGGCAACAAAGGACAGCATGGTTAAAGGGGTATTAGAGAAGTGGAGGCTATCTGTGGACTGAGCTGTCACCAGGGATACATGTTCGATGGGAAATTAGGGCACGATCGTATGTGAATCCCATTGAAATATCACTTGACTAAGGTAACCCACATATTACTCAGCTTCTAAATGTAGTTTTTAGAGAGAAGTAATGGCCATGACCTTACTGACCTTTTGACTGACTGAAATTCACCGACATTGCATTTTTGATCCAGAATTTTGCTACAAGAAATCTAATTTTGGACACTTCTGGTACTTTTTCTTCAATTATCAAATGATGTTCCATTCTCTTGTGTGTACCAAAATCTCCAATTTGTTGTTTTTCGCTATTATAGAAATTAACTTCCAGTTCACAGCAAGCAACTTGGCAGTCAGTATATCTAATTAAATATACTCTCCTTACATTTCTACTTATAATACATTATTTCATAAGTTGGATAAACTCGCTGTTAACGATATTTTTCGCTATAATCCCAATAATATTTCATGAACTTTGCTCATTCTAAAAGGTTTACGTTAATCCTTAATTATTATATTAAACAAGACAATACAAAGAAATTTCTATCATAAAAGTATAATAATAAGAATAATATTAAAACATACTGGAATTGCGTCCCAGTGGCAAAGCGGTATGTCTGCGGACTTATAACGCTAGAAACCGGGTTTCGATACCATTGTGTAGTTTTGTGCTTAATTCCAAACAAACACAGTGGAAGTAGATCTATTAAATAAAAATAGTCTAACCAATATTTTTAATAGAAGTAACGATACATAAATATTAAACAGTCTAACCCAAATTTTTAACGGAAGCAACGACACATAAATATTACACAGTCTAACCCATATTTTTAATAGAAGTAACGATACATAAATATTAAACAGTCTAACCCAATATTTTTAACGGAAGCAACGACACATAAATATTACACAGTCTAACCCATATTTTTAACGGAAGCAACGACACATAAATCTTAAACAGTCTAACCAATATGTTTAATGGAAGCAACGACACATAAATATTACACAGTCTAACCCATATTTTTAACGGAAGCAACGACACATAAATATTACACAGTCTATCCAATATTTTTAATGGAAGTAACGATATGTTACGTCTCTGTTCGTTTGTTAATTTTCCGTAAAAATTCTTTCCGAAGAAACTTTAGCGTTACAAGTCCTTTCTTAAATAAAACTAGTTTATTCTTTCTCAATACAACTTTGCAATACACTTAATTTCCACAGTCACGCTATAAATTAACAAACGCTATAATTCACAAGGAACGAACGATTCACGCGCTTGACTCAATT